CTCTCTCTCTCACACACACACACACACACACACACACACACACACACACATGCTTGCCTTCGTCACTAGATTGCACTAATGATGCTGACTTTATGCTTAGTAGCCTAGTACGACCTTTTTTTTTTTTTTTTTTGTAGTAAGCTCTCATCTATTAAATAATTCATTGAGGCCGGGGTCCTCACAATTCAACCCGGACGAAAGAATGTTGGGCCTTGCCCTGCTGCGTACGTTGCTGGAAACCGGGTCCAGCGTCCCAATGTAAGGTATTATCGGGTTTGTTGTCGGGTCCCTTCCCGCAAATGCTGGAAAACGGGGCCAACGTCCCTGGATTCTGTTGTAATTCCATGTTGTGGTGTTGCTGAGGAAAGAGCTCAGCTTCTCTATAGCTTGAAATCGGGTCCAGCGTCCCTGAATATTCTAAAGACTTTCCAATGTTACTGAGGATATACCTCAGTCTCTCTGTAGCTGGAAACCGGGTCCAGCGTCCCTGAACTGCAACTTATTTCCTTGTTTCCAATAATGCTGAGAGAATATCTCAGCTTTCTATAGCTAGAAAACGGGTCCAGCGTCCCTGAAATGCCACTTAATTCCTTATTGCTGCTGAGAGACTAGCTCAGCCTACATATAGGTGGAAACCGGGTCCAGCGTCCCATAATTCTGTAAAGAATTCTCTAAGGGTTATTGGTTCAGAATTAGAAAAATCGCTAACCCAAATAGGATTCTAATCTCCTAAAAATAAATTATTTACAGAATGAAATTATTTACATAAACTTTGCTAGCCTACTACGATCTGGTTGATCAGGAATTGCCTTTAAACCAGATCTAAGACAAAGAACAGAATTGTGAACTGTACAATATGTACAATCTCCTGGGTCAGGCTGTTCTCTAGTCTGGCTCCACTGCCCAGGATCTTCTGTACTCGAGCAGTCTGGAAAATATCAGTCTCCCTTTCTGATCAGGAACAGCCCACAGGCCTTCCTTGGTCCATCTGTCCTTGAACTTCGTTAACTTGCGTTCGAGAGGAACAGCCCACAGGTGCTCTGTCGATCTTCCTCCAATCAGCCTGGATGATATTCTTAAGTTCTGCACCTTTATGGTCATTAATGATTAATGTATATTTCCCGCTAAAATCCCTATCCTGCAACCAACGACTAACCTAATATACTAAAACAAATTCTAAAGTTTCAGTTTGAGCTGTCTAACATAAGTGACTCTACCGTACCCTTCCTTCTCTCTCTCTCTCTCTCTCTCTCTCTCTCTCTCTCTCTCTCTCTCTCTCTCTCTCTC